TATACTGTCGATAAGTTCTTTTTCAAATTTTTCCTCTACAAAACCTTTAAAAGGGCCTGTTCCAGGACACAGCTCACATTTATTTAAAAAACAGTCGACTGTCGGTGGATTACATATTATTTTGTAAAGAAAAGGTTTATTGTTATTGTCCAAAAATTAATTTAATTTTGACCTTATCATCAACTTCATATTTTGTTGTAAACTACACACACAAACTGTGTGGGTTCCGCTTCTTCCAGCTAGTATACAATTTTTTAGTCAAAAAATTTTGAAAAATCAATTTTTTCATCGGGATATTTCTTTTTTAAAAACGCATAAAACTACTTAAGTTGGCCAAAACTAATCTTTTTTGAATATGCTGCCTCTCTCCTTCTTGTTGAATGGCAACAAAATCTTTTTTCCGGCTTATGTCATCTTTTTGGTAAAATTCTACTATCTTTTGGGCCAAATTTTCATCGAGGAGTTTTCCTGGTTTGGTGTTTGGGTTCACCAGAATTTCTTTTTCCTTAACTATTTTTTTTACTGCACGGGCCATGTATTGCGATACACCAAATTCTTTTTGAATTTCAGCTCTTGTCCAACTCTGCGGCAGTCAGGATAACACTAGAATTTTTTCACTTCTTTTGTTAGTTTTTGAAAACTTTTCTTTTAATTGTTTGATCATGTTTGATTATGTTCATAATAATTATTGTCCTCTTTTTGTGAACTTTGAGCTTGTACTTGCTGTACTTGTAAAAATGTTGTTGAAATAATGTTTTTTACTTTAAATATTAACTTTTTCCTTTGACAACTTTTTCCTTTTAATTGGTGACACTCCTAGAAGTTCCAAAGATTCATTAAAATAACTAAATTAATGTCCGTGCTGTATAAAATCTTTATTTTGTTCTTCCGTCTTTTTCCTTTGACAACTTTTTCCTTTTAATTGGTGACACTCCTAGAAGTTCCAAAGATTCATTAAAATAACTAAATTAATGTCCGTGCTGTATAAAATCTTTATTTTGTTCTTCCGTTATCGTTGATGGTCTAAAAGAAGAAAAACTTTTTAAACATTCTGTATTAATATCATTTGGTACTTTAGAGATAAAGTCACGTTTAAAATTAAAAAATAAATAGTAACTATAGTTAGTGTTAGTGCTTTTCCTCCCGCGTATAGTTTGATGCCCAACGCGAAGCGAAGGGCATTAAATATTCAAGGGAGGAAACGCATTTTCCTCCTGAGGTATGTATATAGTTTTTTCTATTACCTATTAATGGTTTTAAGGCATTTTAAGGGTTCCGGTTCCTTTTACTAACCCGGTATGGGGCTATAAAATTATAACAAAATATTAAGTAGGTGTTGCGTCGCCGACGTTATGTTGACAACGCTTTGTTGCTGGTATTTTTGGTAATACAAACATAACAGTTGTTAAAAGCTGTCAGAATGTTTATCAAAAGTTTGAAATTCTTCCTACATTTTGAAAACGAGTTCTAGCGAAGAAGACCTGCCGCAAGATCTTGCTGAAGAGGAAAGAATAGTTGCAATTAATTTCCTTCCTTAAAAATCGAAAGAGCGATATGAAAATGTTCAAAGAATGATTGGACAACCGCGGAGTAAATCTTTTTTTTACAAAATCAAATAGGGCTAGACAAGTTCCAAAAACTCTTGTAAAATTGTTACCTATTAAAAAGAGGGAGGAAATTTTTTTTCCTCCCGGGAAGGAAAAGAGGCATTTTCCTCCCTCGCTCGGGGGTAGAAAATTAAGTTTTCCAGTATGGTAGTAGAAAAATAGATTTTTCTTACTACCTTGACTGAAAATACGTTGTTTCGTCCCCGATTCCACGGCAGAAAGTTTACGTTTGATGCATTGGTCAAACTATACGCGCACCCTCTATAATAGCGGGAGTAAAAATTTTTTATTCGTGTGCACTAGTACTCAACATATGCAACTCTAATTACGACACTAATATAACCTCAAAATTTGTTTTCAATTAGTTAATTAACTAATTGTTAACATTGAATATTATTAAAGACTAATGAATAGTGAATTTTCAGTCGAGGTAGTACGAAAAATAGTATACACTACACGGGCAGAAAGTGTGAGAGCACATTTTAAGATTACAAGTGTCAATCTTAAAATTTCATACATAGCTTATTACGATGTGCACAACAAATATGTAACAAATATGTATTTGGAGTGAAATGACCCAATAATATTCATTTATTGTGTGTTAGTAAGTTCCTTTATATTTTTTCACCATATACTCGTTGAGTGTCCATCTTGAAATTTTATCAAAATGTGCTCAAAAAATATATATTTAAAAAAAATAATTAAAAAAGGTATTTTTGAGTTTTTTTTCAAAATTTAATTTTTTTTTAAATTAAGGTCATGAAATTTATTATAAAGAAGGTCTCTAATAGGCCTTTAAAATAAGCCATCACTCACCTTTCTACTTTTAATAGTTTACGAGATATCGCTATTTTTGACCCAAATCGGTATCATTTGATTTTGAAAAATCAATAAAACAAAAACCACCTATCGAAAAAAATTCAAATTTAGGATTTTCGAGTTTTTTAGTGAGATAAACAAATTAACCAAAAATTATCAAAATCGGAGATGGTGAGGGAAAACCTTTGGTTGATTCAGTGTTCCCAACTGCAGGGAATTTTCCTTTTTTAGGGAATTTTGGTACCAAGAAGGGAAAAGGGAATTTTTTAGTAAAAATCGTTAAAATTAGGAAATTTTTCATATTTATTAATAAAAAGCCCACATTATAGATTACACTTTTTTTCGGTCACTTATTTACCTTATTATTATTTACCTACCTATTGTGGCTAGAAGAAGAAGAAAAACTAACTATATGTCAACTGCGAGAGGGCAAAAGATGCAAGTTGGCTTACGCATTTTTGTTATATGCGTATAAGCGTACTGTTCGGTGATTCCCGAATTATTTGTTGTACGAGTAGTTATTATTAGGCTTATTAGGCTAGCTCACTCGATAAGCGCATTATAGGAATATTTCGAGATGAAAACACAAAATGTTTTCGCTCTCACTCATTTTTAAATAATAACAACTTATTATTATTTAAAAATGAGTGAGAGCGAAAACATTTTGTGTTTTTATCTCGAAATATTCCTATAATGCGCTTATCGAGTGAGCTAGCCTAATAAAGTGTGTTTTAATATGAAGAGGAGTTACTACTCTGTATATTAAAATACACTTTATTAGGCTAGTTCACTCGATAAGCACATAATAGGAATATTTTAAAATAAAAACACAAAATGATTTTTTTTGCAGTATACGCCTCAAATGTTGTTTTGACGTTGTGTTTTTTATTTATTTTATTTTTAGATCATATTTATTTGTAACAAACATAATAAAAATTTATTTTAAAAATTGTATTTTTGATATGAAGTCATTTTTCTTGGCAAAATTGAAAGCAGGGAATTTTGGCAAGAAATAGGGAATTTTTGCCTTGCAACAAGGGAATTATTACTCTGGGTTGATTTGATATGGACCCTATATGTAAAATGTAATAGCGTAAAATACCGCCAAGCTATAGGAAATTTAAAAAAATATCCTTAATTTCCTGTTATTTCACTGGAAAAACTATAAAATCAAAATAAAAGTACAAAGAGATAAATAGTTAAATTAAGACTAAGTTGCACATTTCAATACCAAACAATCTAAAAAGCAATTTAACTTATCATTTTCACTTTTTGAGATATTGTAGAAATCGACAATTTGTAATTTACTTATACTTAAAATTTTTGTCAAAAACGGTTAAAAGTAGGTAGCATTTTCCAAACTGCCAAAATATTTTTGCTAGCTTATAATATAATATAATATAATATAATATAATATAATATAATATAATATAATATAATATAATATAATATAATATAATATAATATAATATAATATAATATAATATAATATAATATAATATAATATAATATAATATAATATAATATAATATAATATAATATAATATAATATAATATAATATAATATAATATAATATAATATAATATAATATAATATAATATAATATAATATAATATAAGCGAAAAACTCGTGCTAAGCCTAAAAAAATATAAATTTGTTGTTTACTTTAAATCCTTAAAACTTTAAAATTAGTGTATGACAGGAATGGTAAATAATTCTATAAAAATACTTGTTAAATACGTTTATTTAATAATTTAATAAACTTTATTACAATTTATTATTCTTTTATAGCAAGCAGTCTTATTTTGACAAAATAAATATATTTATACATACATTTTAAACAAGATTTTATACAGGGTGGGCCAATGAAAAGTTTGCTGCCCGGTTTTTATCAGGTGTTACGTAAAAAAACAAAAACGCTCGCACACTTAGATTTTTGATTTTAGGCGGACAATTTACATAATTTTATATTTTTAACCCCTCAACTTCAACCCGTAAGCGTGGGTGATAGATACCCCCAAAATTTTTAAAGGCAAGGGGGGTTAAGTGATGCCATATTTTGAAGTTCTATTTAACCTGATTATAGGAGTTGTCCCCCTAAAATCAAAAATCTGCTACAGCATGGGTTACATTTATTACAATTGCTTTTACTAAATTAAAAAGTATATATAATATTAGTATTATTATTTTCTTTCATTTTTACATGTCATCATAATAATTATTAATATAAATAACACATTTGTGTAAAAAAAAAGTAATTTTCATCCACAAGTAAATAAAATTGAGAACTTAATTACACTCATAAAGGTGGTAAATTATGGTTTTGCCTAGATGAAAATAAAATTGCTTTGTAAAAATATTTTATTTAAAGGTACTTTTATATTCCTTAAATAACACATTATATTTACTACTTATTTCCTTATTAACAAAAATGGTAAATAAACAAATTAATTAATTATTTAATTCATTATTATTATACTTTATTACTTAATCAATTAATTAGGTTATTAATTTATATTTTAGGATTTTTTATCATGATCATTATAATCTAAAAAAATTTACTAAAAATAGTGGCCTTTACAAATATTACAAAAATACTTTAATAGCATTGATATTTTCAGTGGATAGGTATACGATTTGTGATATTTAATCAACCCATTTATTTAAACAATTGGTTATTTTATCAGTATTTTAACGCGGTACGGTTTTATTTTCAACAATTATAAATCTAGCGATAACAGTTCAATCCTTCCGTTGCTATAGGTACAATTCCTTGTAACTTCATATCATATAAATTTTAGAAAATTTACTAAAAAGAGGCAGGTAGTCTCACAACTCAGAAATGGAAAAAAATATTGTAAAGTATGGTTTACTACACCTTTTATGTATATCATTAACATAAATTCCTTCAAGCTTGCCCAGAATGCATATCTGTATATCCCGTTTGATCCAGTTCAGGTGTTTTTAAAGAAATTTTTACCGGTGTTTCATATCCTTTTGCTGTATTATTTTGATTTGGATCATTTGGATCATTAGGCATCAAGTTTTCTACATTCATAATTTCATCATTTTCGTTTTGGTCTATAATTTTTTCTGTTGCTCCACATTTGTCATAGGAGATTGATTTTTTTAAATAGTTTAGCGGATTATATGTGGAATTATTTGTTGGAGACATATCTAAAACAAAAAGGAAAATATGTATATATGTAAATAAACCCTGCTAAAAAAGACGAGCGGATGTAAAACAAAGCCTATAACCGGATGAAAAACTGCCTTTCTTTTCTGCACTGCCTGATTTCATCCAGCACCCTAAAGGCCGACGCGTCGGCCTTTAGGGTGCAAATATTATCCGCAAACGTTTAGCATTGACTGGCATTGCGCTCAATTATAATTTTGTCTGATTTTACCCGCGTTTGCTTTGAAATAATCTGTCTGCATTGGCTCGGCTTCACCCGCAATATCTGATTTCGTTTAGTTTTATGATAAACACAGATAAAACTTTTAAAGGGTAAGAGCGAAAAAAAAATTAAATTTTATTTTTTGAAGCACCCTAATATATATATATATATATATATATATATAGATATATAGATATATATGAAATGAACCATAGTTTTCTTGTAGGACCATAAAATAGACAAACGAAATGCAGGCAACCGTGTGTAAAGCCGGTCGAAAGCAGATGATAGCACATAATTGCGGACGTGCACTAACCGTATAAAAAACAAAACAAACCGGGTGTTCGCGAATGTAGCGAAATGGGCTGTTACGCCGAATTTGCGTAACTGCCGATTTCATGTAATAGGAAAAATTATGCCTAATTCGTGAAATCGGCAAAGGACTTGCCGATTTCATGTAATAGGCAAAATGTTGCCAAATACATGAACTGGGCATATTTAAATTTGCCGATTACATGAAATACGCTACTATATATTAGTTTTAAATTTAAGGTTATTTTGTAGGTATGTAAATACCGTTCTTCGGCATAATAGTAATAGTTGGTGTCATCTGTGAAGATATACTGTTAAAATGTATTTTTTTTTAAATAATAAGTGTCTTTAATTAATTTATATTAAAATGTAGAAAGAAAACATAGCAGTGAAAGTGAAACAGTCAGGATCGAAACATCGAATTTTAAGAGATCCTTAATTTATCGAGTACATGTGCAAAAAATAAACAATAAAAAGAAAAGAGTGAAAGAGTGATAAGTAAAAGGGTGCGAGTGAGGTCACAATGAGAAACCTACCTGGATTATCAAAACATTCAATACGGTCAAGCAACGACAAGGAGCGACAATTCAGCAGAACATCAAGTCCACTTAATTCGGATAAGTAATTTATCTAATTGCATGATATAATACCTCAATTCTAAATTATAAACTTTAAATTTTAAATTCTAAATCCAAACGCAAACTTCGCAAACGCTAATTACCAAGAATTACATCTGGCGATCAGGCAAACAAATAGGCACCAACAGTTTCCATAAGAGATAAGGTACCAGCAAGACATCAGCCCAAAAGTCCACTCCCCAAACAAACACTGGACAAAACCATAAAGAAACGCCAACCCGGCCTCATAAATTTTAATAAAGTCAAACCAAACCAAACATAAAATGTTAACACTCAGCAGGTATAATTAAAGTACCACCCGACGAGACGGAAAAATAAAACGTAATGGCAAAATTACATTTTAATAAGTTCACGCAAATAAATTCAATAAAAATGCAATAAAAAAAAACATTATAAACAACGAAAGTGTTTAGAAAAACACGACGGAAACTGAAACAGACCGTCCAGGATGCAATCCAAGACCAACTCCACCGTTACGCACACATTACAGACATGGAACGTAAAACAGGCGTACTTAAATGACCACACACAAAATGGGTTCTGGGTGGGACGGGTATCAAAACAACAGCATCGGACGTATTTAACGTCGAAATGACATCACGAACAGGGGATCTGAGATACGAACAGGAAGTACACCAACAAGGATAGGTCATATTAGCCTACAACGTATTATGTATTAAAATGAAGAAAGAATATATTTTTTACTTTTGTAATAAAATATTTAAAAGCTCATGTGACTTTAAATTATTAAATTATCTGTGTGCTTATTCCTTGAAATGGGCAAACTTAAGTAAAATAATTCCCATTATGTGAAATCGGCAAATTCGTTGCCGATTTCACGAATTAGACAAAATTTTGCCTATTACATGAAATTGGCAATTAAGCAAATTCAGTGTAACACATTCATGGACTAAAAGTTGTAGAGCCGTTGTAGAGGACCATGGAATGGACAAACGAAATTCTGCCTGCATTTCGTTTGTCCATTCCCGTGTATAAAACCGGACCAACGCAGACATGAACTAAAAGTCGTAAAGCCGGTCGAAAGCAGATGATTGCAGATAACTGCGGGGGGGCACTAACCGTATAAAAAGCAATACCAACCTGGTGTTCGCGGATGTAGCAACGAGGGCAAAATCAGATATAAGCAGATGTAATTTTTATCAGCTTTCGTTAAGAATTTACATAAGCAAACATGCGTCATTTTTACACATTAATATTTTTAAAGTTATTCATTCTACATTTTATAATAATCATTTATATTGTCAATTTATTTATTTTCTTGAAACTATTTTTTTTTACTTTTTAAACAAATTAAATAAATTTCAATAAAGGAATTTGTAACTCGTATAACAAGATTAAATCAAAACATGCTCACAAGAAAGCCTGTTGAACAAGTTGTTAAAAAAAATAAAAAAACAATATAGCGTATTAATTAAATTTGTTATATTTACCGTTGTCTTCTTCATTTTGTTCAAAAGGAGAACAAAAATAACCTCTGTTATGAATAGAATTATTACCAAGATCAAGATAGTCATTTCCATCTTCCAACATTATTTCCCAAGACTTGGATAATTCCTTAAATGATGGTCTTTTTTCAGGTTCATTTTGCCAACAACTTTTTATGATTTTGTATCTACAATAAAGAACATTAAGTTTGTTCGTACGGCTATTGGTTTTCCATTAAGATATGTAATTATATTTAAAAAAACTTTGAGTAAAAACTTGCGCTGAAACACGCTTGCATATAATTTACTATAAAAAAGGTACCGTAAACACGGGTGGCTTTAGCTCACTTTCAAACCAAAGCCTAAAATTTTTGTGATTTTAATAATCATAAACATTTAATATTATATACCAAAATTTGATTCTTGAGTTGCTCTTTCATAATAACCTTGTTATAATATTACGTAGGGCTGAGTTTCAAAAATAAAAATTAAAAACTGGGTGTGCAAAGTTACCCCCAGGTTAAGGGTAACTTTGTCTCACAGTGTATTTTCCGTATAAAATTAACTCAATATTTTATTTTATTTTTATTACACATGTTATCAGCGACATATAGCGATTGCAAGGGATTGCCGATAAAAAAAATCGATCTGTAGTTAACCAAGGATCATCATTCCAAAGGATTGGGCCTAATATAGAACTTGTACCGCGTGTATTTCTAAGAGTTCTGCACTGATGCAATATAAACAATTTTAAAGTGTAATAAATCCCATTTATTTCTTTAAAACACTGATTTTTCTATAATATAAACTCAATAGAATCGCTCCATTGACAGGTTTAGACCAACAAATTATAAATGTTATTTTATCGAGCGCGAAAAGATTTTTCATGAAAAGGTTAATAAGACAGGCGGGGTGCAAAGCCACCCGTGTTTACGGTATTCTTAACTTTTTATTAAATTGAAAGTATCATTAGTCACAATCACTTTTCAGCTAGCACAAGTCGGTCTTAAGGACGTCCTACAGGATATTGGGATATTCCCAAGGATATCCTTGGACGCCCTCGTACCACCTTAGTACCCCAAACAAGGCCAAGTGGTGCAAAAGCCAGCCTACGGACGTCCTGTAAATGGCCTTAAGGTCCAGGAATAAAAAAGGACATCCTACGGACGCCCTGAATGTGCCTAGGGACGTCCTGGATGTGCCCTCTTAACTTTCCACAGGTTGTTCTTCTTCTTGGGTTTTATTTAGGTCATGAAGAATCTTCTTCATAACATACTCGATTTGCTAGCCATTATTTGTTAGTGAGAAGGTCAGCCCCAATCAGCTGTCCCATAAAGGATCATCCTATCATGACTCATGATTCATGAGACATAAAGCTGGTCCAAGGAGGTCCAAGGGACGTTCGTGCTTGCTGGGTTATTGTTGTCGCCAAGGTGATATATACATAAATTGGGCATATCTTAAAGCGCCGCACGTATTGATGTATTTACGGCGTCAAAAATATTTAGGATAGGCAAATGTCCAAACAGTGTTTTCCTTAGATACTTATTGTTTTTATCTATTTAAGTCGATTTGGGGTCCAAAGTAAGAAAGTAAGCCATTTTTCATATAAAGTAAAGCACACAATATTTTGACTAATTCTAATATCGAAATTACCGTACATAAAACAAAATAAAAATAAGTTGCTATATATATATATATTTATATATATATATATGTATGTGCAAAATTGCTAAGGGGTCATCCATTAATTACGTAAGGCAATTTTGGCAATTTTTCGACTCCCTCCCTCCCCTTGGTGAGATGTCGTGATATTTTGCTCGACCGCCTCCCCCCTCCTTGAGATTTTTTAAAATGCATGGTTTTAATTTAAATAAGTTAATCTGTGCTTGATTCCATTAGATTTATTAAAAAAAAACAATTTGCTTATAATTGTCTACTTAATTTAACCCAGTTTTCTCGCAATTTTATACTGTTTCATTCTAAAAGAAAAAATTACGTGATATTTGCCGAGACCACCCTCCCCCCACATGAGATTGGGTGAGGTTTGGCTCGACCCCCTAAACACCTCACGTAATTAATGGATGCCCCCCTAATACACATCCGAAATAGATACTTTTGTGAAGAACGCGCCCCCGATATCGGTTCACCGTTTGGGGCGCCACTGTTTTATACAGATGTTTACCAAATTAAGTATACCAGTAAGTCCGAACATTTTCTATTTAACCGAAATTTGGCAACAGGGTACGGAGGCCATTAGTATGTATTTCTGTAAATGTACCTTATTAAAAAAATGGGTTTAAACATTAAATACAAAGTGTGTAAACTGCTTAAAATGTATTCATATATAATCATTTAAAACACTTTATTGGCGAATACTTGTAAAAACGTTCTTTTTTGAAGACTAAATATAATTATTCTCTTGTACACTTTTAAGCTCCACAACTTAAAAATAAAGACGAAAATACTTAAATGTGCAAGTATGTGGAGAAAAAAATAAATTCCACGTAAAACCAATATTCAATGCTATTTATTAAGCTGGCACTTAAAGCGAAACTTTGCAAAACTTTTTTTATAACTGTTGGGGTAACCTCAACAGTTTGTTAAAAGGACAAATACCTCATTTTGCCTTACGTGCGCCGTATTTTACCATTTAAAAGTTTTTTTTAATTTAAAAACCTTCTCGGAGGAAAACCCTTTAGACTTTTTTTTATTAATTTAAACTTACAATGCGATAGAACAGTTATCTGGCCTTTCCATTCTGTAACCTTGGCGGATCAAGTGAAATAGATTTTGAACGGCTATTCCAGGGTAAGGAGTAGCACCTAAGGTTACTAACTCCCAAAGCAATATCCCGAAACTCCAAACATCCGATTTACTAGTATATACGTGATCAGATAGAGACTCTGGTGCCATCCATTTGACAGGGACTAAAAAAATTAATAGTAATAAAACAAAGTTATATTATGGTCTACTTACCTCTCCCTTTACTTCTTTTAAAGTAAGCATTATCTTCATAGATGTCTCTTGTTAATCCAAAGTCGGAAATTTTACATACTTTATCTTTAGTTAAAAGTACATTTCTGGCTGCTAAATCTCTATGAACCAGCTTAAAAAAATAATCGTAAAAGCTTTTAGGTAAAAATCGAAAAATATTTCATTACCTTTATTTCACTTAAATATGCCATACCATTGCTGATTTGCCATGCGAATGAAAGTATTTCTTTAGGTGTAACGGTACATGAGTTCGGTTCATCATAGTGAATTTCTGTCGTTTCCTCAATTCCGGTTATCGATAAGGGGAATTTTTGATTTTCTGATTTTAAATGTCTAGTTCTTCTAAGATAACTCCTAAACATAATAAAAACAAATTAATCCCACACAATTAAATAATTATAAAAACACAATACAATTAATAAATTTAAATATCTTACACTTATATACAGTGCTTGCAAATCCAAGTCCGACCACACTGGAAAGGACGGCTGTTCAATACCCGCGTGAAAAGAACAAGGATAGAACGCCAAATAGAATTTGATTGGCCAGAGCCGGCTGCCGGATGCGTGCGAATTGTAAGCGAGGTCAACTCTCAGTCTGGCTGCATTTAGACTAAATGATTTAGTGTCAAGCAAACTGCGTAAGAGTGTAGATGCACATTTTAATTTTCTTTTTAAATATTTTATAGGTACCCGAATCCTAAAAATAAAATTTTTTGATTTTTTCCTTGAGAACTAGGGCAACAACAAAAATAGTATTCTTAATAAAAAAGATTTCTCAAATAAAAAATAATTCTGAATAAAAATAACTAGGTATAAATAAAAATAAAACTCTAAATAAAAATAAAACTCTAAAAATAAATAATAAAAATAAATAAACTCAAAAATTAAATTAAATGTTCGAACAAGCCCCCATAGGCAGCCAAACAATAGCCTAACCTATTATAAAAATTCCCACGCACATTTGATGGACTTCTGGACTAATATCCCCCAACAAATTAGTTATGCGGATTCCTAAATCATTGAGGTTATTAGCCCGATCTTCCTGGAAAACGTACAGCTTCGACTTGAGGTACCCCCACAAAAAAAAATCACACGGCGCCAAGTCCGGTGATCTAGCTGGCCAGAGAATTCCTCCTCGACCCATAATAAGACGAGGTCCAAAAGTGTCGGAAAGGAATTCCCGAACAGCCATCGTATTATGTGCGGGGCAACCGTCCTGCTGAAACCATACGTTTTCGATGTTAACTCCGTCTAAATTTTGAAGCGCGGGAACTATTTGGTCTCTTAAGAGATTTAAATACCTAGCGCCATTTAAATTACCATTTATAAAAAATGGGCCAATTATTCGGTCGCCCAAAATACCCGCCCAGACATTAAGTTTTTGGGGATACTGTGTCCGAGCTGCATAAATCCTACGAGGATTTTCTCGCGCCCACATTCGAACATTCTGCGAATTGTGCCTGCCATGGAGAGTAAATGTCGACTCGTCAGTAAATAAAATATTACCGATAAAATTTGGGTCGGCATTTGCTCTCTCCATAACAACCTCGCAAAATTCCATGCGGCGGAATGCATCGGCAGGGAATTGCTCGTTTCCCCGTCGCAGCTTAAATGGACGATATCCATGGCGTCTTAGCACATTTCGTGCCGTGGAAGCTGAAATATCAAACTCCCTAGCCACCGTACTTAATGCCTGGGTTGGGTTTTCTTCAATTGACGCGCAAATTAAAGTATCCCGCGCTTCTCTATTTAGATTTTCACGGGGAGGACGTTCCCGTCGGAGCTGCATCGGAACTACACAACCGTGCGTGAGAAAATTATTAACGGTTCGTCGAATTGTTTCTCTGTTTGGTCTGGCCTCGAACATTCCCGCAAATAATCTTTGAATTTCTCGTTCAGAATTACCAGCAAAATGCCAGATTAAAATCTGAACTTTTTGTTCTAACGTGTACATTTTTTAATTAAATAATCTTTTTCACTAAAATTACTACCTCTTGCTCGCACCACTGCAGTTCTCGTTCTGATATCCTCGTGTCAACCACGCTGCGAGGTGCGCGATGGGTATGCGTTGTCGTAGCCTGCCGGCTGGCCAATCAAATTCTATTTGGCGTTCTATCCTTGTTCTTTTCACGCGGGTATTGAACAGCCGTCCTTTCCAGTGCGGTCGGAGTTGATATTGCAAGCACTGTATAATAATAATACTCTTCCCAGATAACACAGGATCTACCTGGGATATACCGCTAATGTGCCACAAATGTCCCAATGTTTCGGACTTGGAAGGGATGTTCGTAAGATGTTTCTCTTTGTACATCTGTGGGATATCCCATAAAAGTTACTTGGGATGTTGTAGAAACATCCCTTATTAAAAAAAAATAAGTATGCTTTAAGCATAACAATTATTAATAATAATTATTATGACGCTTTTAACAATAAAGTAGGTATACTTTATAAAGCCTAGTGTAATTTTCCAACGACAATAAATTTTTTGTTTATTGTGTCAAAATGAACAATGTTTAATTTATTTTATTCCTTATAAAGCTATAGCTGAGTTTTAAATCTTATTAGGTACCTATTAATAGGTATAATTATAAGTATACTAACTAGTTAGCCTAACTGTTAGGATACTTATAATAACTCAGTCGACGATGCATATAGGTAGAATTCGGGGATTTAGGGAGACAAAAAGGGTTTATTTCAAAGTTAATTAATAAGAAAACTAATCCTTTACGGGAAAAATAGAAAGTCGAAAGAACAATAGACGACCCCTTTCACGGTCCCAGCAGAACATGTGCGTTCCCAATAATCAGTCGAAACTTGAACGTCGCGCAAGCTGCTTAAACTCGTTCTCGACACCCTTACAAACACTATTTTACAAAGTCATTTTTTAGTGAATGAAAGTTCAATTATTAATTGAATGTGATGGATATCGACAATTCAGGTATGTTACTTATAATTCTTAAAGAAATACTATAATAAATGTCAATATTTCGCATAATTATAGCCCATTAAAGATACACCCTTTTTTAACATACTTTTTATACTTTTTTCCGTTTCAAAAGTAAAAATGTTACCTTTCCAGGCCCGTCCGAGTATTTTTTCTTTTTGTAATTGATAAATAATTTATTTAGCTAAAAATTGAGAAAAAATTACGGTCCACTTTGGTCCACTTTGCGAAAAATTCCACTTGAAAGTAATTTGGTCAGAAATCAAGAAATTTATAATTTACGTTAAAAATCTTATAATAGTTATTTACGTGTCAAGCTTTGTAAATGAATCTTTACGGGCGAGCTGGAAGTTTGTAGGGTGAGCGATGCAGGAGCGAACCCCATAATCCAGTGAGCCTAGTAAAGATTAATTGCAAAGCGTGACACGTACAAACTTTTATTTTCACCTTTAGATAACGATTTTTAAATTAAAATTTTATTTGTAGAATCCAAATAATTTTAGAGGCCATCACAAGCGGCATCCAAAAGTTTGATGAGTATGCAATGGAAACGGCAAAACTGTACGTGGATTTGTATGGGTGGCACCGTATGAGCCCCACAATGCATAAAATTTTATTACACGGGGCAATAATTTGCGAAAATGCCATTTTACCTATTGGCCAGTTTTCAGAAGAAGCTGCCGAAGCCCGGAATACGCATTTCCGGTCGTACCGCCTTAACTTTGCCGTAAATTTTCACGTGAAGAATGCAATCTAGACATATCACAGGTTACTTATGACATCCGACCCTCTCATCAGTTCTTTGAGAAAAAAAAAATTTCAAAATCGTTTTCGCAGGAAACTTTACGACTTTTGGTTTCTGCAGAGACGAACACATGTGCACCAGGCTACCTCTGCAGAGGTAGCCTGTGATACATCTATGGAAAGCGATGACGAAGACATTTCATTTGGCTCGTAAATTACTTTAATTTTTATATGTGTAACTTTAATCAGTATTTATTATTAAGAATATGATTTTTTTAATTTGTGTCATATATTATGTTTATATTATGTTTTCAATCATATTTATGACTAATTACTTTTTGTTAAACTTGTTTTAAAATGTAAATTGCATAGTAAGAATTTGGAAAAATAATGAATTCCATGTAATTACTACATCTTGTATCATTTACTTCCCTTAAATATTCACTGCTCTGTATCTCAAAAAGTACTCATCCAATTTTGATTAAATTCAGCGTGGACTCATCTAAAAATACGTGCTGTAGATCAATAAAAAAACTTATTAGTCTACGAAAAAACCAGTGAGTTCAACTTTTAAATTTAAAAAAATGTGAAAATTCTACTACGTAAACCAATATGTCGACAAAACTTGGTAAAAATACCTTTTTCTATTTAGTTTAACCTATTAGACATTTTTTATTATGTCTCCTACTAAAAGAGATAATAAAATAATTTTGGCCGCCTAAGTGACCGAATTCTACCTATGTGCGATGGTTCGTAATTTCAAAGTTTTAAAAATCTCGCGATTGAAACGGAAAGGGATGTGCGATGAGGTTTGATAAATGGCAAAATGGCGGCGTAAAACAGTGTCTGCTATACTGCTATTAGTTCATTTTAAAAAGTTTGGATTGCTGTTTGGTAAGTTTAATAATTATTATAAACATTTTTTTTTTTAATTTTTGTGAATTTAATTCATGTTGGCCTTCACATCCAGTGAAAACTTTTAGGAATGCTACATACGGTAAGTGTTTTTTAATTAAGACGCAACAATTGCAAATTTGCAAATTTGCTCTATGCTTATAAAATAATAATAACAAAACTTTTAATAATAAACACAATAATTTCATTTAAGTAATGTTATTAAACAATGCATCACCAAGTGAAATATCTAGTTTAAGGTGCGTACTGACTTGCAACAAATTACTCCGAACGAACCAAACGCGACGCGTGCGCTGTAACAAATTGCGCTAGTGAGCACGTGGCGTCGAACAGAACGAAACGCGCCAAACTTTTTCGGATGATGTCGGTAAATCGGATATGCGCAAAGGGATTTTCGCCGAATAAGTCGTTCGCCAGTTCTCAGTGGGAACGTGTGTTTGCCGTGTTTGGTCTGTTTGTTGGTTTTAATTCTTTATTTTTATTGAATATAATATAAAAATTATAATTATATAATTATTATAAAAAAGTGCAGAGATGGAGTGGAGCAGGGAAAAGTGCCTCCAATTGATATATGAATATGAAAAGCACTCTTTATTATGGGATACCAGAAATGGGCTGTATTTTAATAAAAATAAAAAGTTTGACGCTTGGGAAGTGATTTGCGATAATTTAAAAATTATATTTATACACCTTTATTTGATTCTTAAGTCTTTGAAAAAGTGCATTGCAGGTTTCTATAATTATAAAACTAATTCGTTGTTTTAAATTTTAAATAAATATTGTAAACTAGTATAAAGAGTCTACTGTAGAGAAAAAGCGCAGAGTAATAGCTAAGCAATCTTGAACAGGCATTGTCTTTCGAAGTGGTGTTGCTATTTCAGGATCCACAAGACGTATTAGGTTCTTAAAATCTTCTGCAGACATCCTCATAAAAGTTTGTAAATGAATGTAATCCAAATCCCAGAGTAATCCCAAAAGACGCAAAAAGAGACGTCTTGACCACTCTTTTCTTTTTTTTTCTTCTCCTATTGCTAATTAAAGCACATATAATAAAAAAGCACCATCCGCTATTATTACATCATCTGCTTTCATCCTGACGAACACACCTTTATTAGCGGGAACGCGAGGAACACAGCAAATGCTCACGAACGGCACGAACTTCGACAAAAATGTTTGTTGCATTCGGCGTAGCGCGCGCGGCGCGTTTGGTTCGTTCGGAGTGTTTTGTTGCAAGTCAGTACGCGGTGCGCGCACCTTTAGATTGACGAATGTGGCGTACATGCACCTGGTGAACGAAATTTGGTTTCAATAGTAGCATACCATGTTTCCTTGTATCATGCTATCCCTTACAAAATTGCATATTACCTTTACCGTTAAAATATTTTCAATTTCTGGTTTCATATAAAGAATTATGTTAAAATTTATAAAATAAAAGTAACAGTAACTACAAAGTTATGTTTACAAATCTTTTTATAACTGTATGCACAAACCACTGCTAGATTTGTGCAAGGTTTATAACCTTATATTGACGAACTTTAAATCAATTTTACTTGAAAACTGTGTTAAGTAGAGTTGAAATAATATTTAGAACTGGAGATTGGCGCCAGTAAATGCATGCATATTCATATTTTACCTAATTAACAGTTATATATCATATACGCTTACCTAAGCGAGCCAAACTCAGCAAACTCTATTATAAGATAAACTGGCCCACCGAGAACAGTACATACTCCAAGAAGTTTAATGACATTGAGATGGGAAACGTCCTTAAGAAGCTGATATTCAGATAACAAGTCATTAAGTTCAGATTCCCTGGCATCGTCTTTTAACGTCTTTACAGCGACAATTGTGTCACCTGAAATTCAATATATAAATACACCATCATACTATAATAACATGAAATAAGATTTCATAAGTCAAGGTTATGTTAAATTGTTAGGATTGTGTTAAACAGAATTTTGCAATTCAAAAGGGCTAAATACACACCGTTATTTATATTTTTTTTCATAGAAAATAATTATTGAATTACTAAACTAAACAAATTAATAGACAGTTAATTGTAAAATAGATATTGGTATTCTATAGAGAATACTTTTTAATAGTAAGTGAATTTGTTTTATCAATAACCCGGTCAACATTTAACGCAACCCATTATTACTGTTCCAAATTAACCAATAAGCAATATAACAATAACGTAACATTTTGATACTATAGTAAAATAACAAAATTGAGGCGTGGAAGTACCAAAGGGAGTATGTGCCATTTTTTGTAATTTTGAGGTTTTTTGTTAGAAACATAGTTGAACTTCGTTAAAAAACATAGTATGTACTATGTTTTTTAACGATGGCAGTGACACATACTACTGTAATATAAACAAAATTACCATACTGTAACATAATTACCGGTCGATATATTTAACATATCATGTTGTATTCGATCAACGTTATCGTTATCCTGTTACTAACCTTGGCAAGCTATATTAACGAAGTTAAGACAGCGCATCTGAAGGGAAAAGTTTCCACTTCGTGAATTTTTAATTCTTTAAAGAATTAAAAATTCACGAAGTGGAAACTTTTCCCAATTGTTTTCGAAAGCACATATTATCGCCGAGCATACACTTCACTGCCGAGGCGATAGCCAAAGCAGTAGATTGTGTGCGAGGCAGTTAATAGGCTTTCGCCGCCGAGTTTTATGTACTAATTTTTTTTCAAGCATTTAATTAAATAGTTTTTGTCACATTTTTTACATTTGTCACATTTGTACATTAGGTTCAACTGATATGATGACATTTTAGCTTTGTTTCTGTACGGAGTTTAATAATAAATTGACTTTTTCTCTATAGACTTATAATTTGAAAATTATTGTAAGCTTGAATATTTGAAATGATGACATGTCACAATTTAAAATATAAAATTGCGCTTTTAGTAGGTAATTTATTATTATTATATCTTAATTACAAATCACGTATTATTATTAATAATAAAATGTTTTTATTTGAGTAAAAATTATTTTTTACATTTTCTTAAACTACACGAAGTCTAGCCTCAGGCTAATTCACTTAACCTAGTATGACAATTATTTTTTACATGCATGGAAATTCCATGGAAATATTGAACAAATTAAAAACATTTTTCAACTAAATAATTTTAAATTATAAAGTCTAGCCTCAGGCTATTCCACTTAACCTAGTATGACAATTATTGCAATAACCATGGTTACATAGAAATATTGAACAAAAATAAAAACATTTTTCAACTAAATAATTTTAAATTATAAACACTTGAATAAATAAAAAATATATATAATTAACATGAATACAATTTTTATTTTAGCCTACGCTTTTTAATTCAATATTTACATTATTATAAAGTACAACCACTAGTGCAATTAGTCATTTTTGACTCATTCATTTTAAGAGAGTACCTTGTTTGGGCAGCTTATGCTTATGCTGCAGCATAAGCATAAGCTGCCCAAACAAGGTACTCTCTTAAAATGAATGAGTCAAAAATGACTAATTGCACTAGTTTACAAAATCGGAAGAAAATCTGCCCTCCATATCCCATTATAATTTTTCCATGCATTTTGTCCCACTAAACACGAAAATCACACTAAATTTTTTTTGAAATATGAATTTTCAATTGTTTTTTTTTTAATTTTAGGAGGTGTTTTGACCTTTTTGTTTTGACCTTTTTAAATATAGCTTGAAATCTAATTGATCGATGAACAAGCACTTAAATTGAAGGTATTTGAGCCCTCTAAAACTATCTTTTACATACTTTTGATATCGGATAAGTATTTTGAAGCTAGCGATTTTAATAACTTAAAAAATTCGTTTTTATGGCAAAAATTGAAGTCGAAAATTTACATATCGTCGTGGAAAAGATTGAAATCAAACAGATAATTTTTTTTCGTCAAGCTGATATTTTTACAAAAAAAACAAGACATGGTGGGAAAATGACTGTAAACTAGTGTTGTCATAGCGAAAAAGCAGCCACTAAAAACTGTAGTCCACATAAATTTGTATCCAGGACATTTAACAGTTAATTCTTATGTAAAAATGTCCGATGAATCCGAAAATACGTCGGAACATATAAAAGTATAGCAGTTTTTGAGATAAAGCCAATTAAATAATATTTAGAAAAATGACTATATCCCAAAAACTGTTCTACTTTTATAACTTTTGACTACATTTTCGGATTCAGCGTACAATTTTACATACAAATTGACTGTTAAATGTCCGAGATACAAATTGCTGTTGACTAAAATTATTAGTGGCTGCTTTTTCGCTATGACAATTAGTCATTTTTTACTAATTAATTTTAAGAGAGTCGAAATTTTAATCGTGCCGCCACCTCATTTGTAAATCGTCAAATTATTAACAAATATATTGAACTACAAGTGACCCAAATTTGATCCCTGCGGCACACCTGACAAAAAAAATATTTATTAGAGCGATAACCATTATACATCACAAATTGTATTCTGTCTTGTAAGTACGATTTGACCAAACTAATAAACCAAAACCATATTTCAGTTTATCAAAGGCCTGTGAAAAGTCCGTGTACAATACATCAACCTGGCTCTTCTCTTTAAAGGCAATTTTAATATAGTTTTTAATTAGGTATTGAAAGATTTGTTAAAGTCGATCAGTTCGGAATGAAACCATGCTGATCAGTCGATAAAAATACCTTTACTGTCTGTCCACTCTAAGTTGGCGGAACTAAGGAATTTTGTAGTTTAGATATTAAAGAATTGTCGTACTGTGTGCTTTTAAAACAGATTTTATATTATAAATAATACTAGTACATATTATATACTACTACAACAACAAAATTCCTTAGTTCCGCCAACTTAGAGTGGACAGACAGTACTTGTTCTCGAAATTCAGTGTACATAACCATTTGGAAAAATTTGGCAAAATGGAAACGATAGTTTCCTAGTTGACTCGGATCACCCCATTTGAATACAGGATACATCTTAGATATCTTCCATGATTCGGGTATAGTTGTGGTGTCAATAATTTTATTCATAATAATACATAATGGATTACAAAATATAACTGCACAGTCCTTAAGAATAAAGCTGGAAATAAGGTCATGACCCGCGGTATTTTGTTTGACAATTTTTTTAAAATTTCCTCTGTTGGTGGAGAAATAGTTATACAAGGTGTCCCTAAACTTAGTGGCATAAATTTAGAAGCAGATTAAGCAAGTCAAAATAAGACGAAAATCTAAATAAATATTTTTCCTAATTAGGTATGTTTAAAAGTTTTTTTAATATAACTTTCACTATGGTAGACTTGGAAAGGTGATATTTTGCAAACAGTCACTTACTATAAAAACACATATTCACACATAATTACAATTGTTCGAGTGAACGCAGTGTCGTAGAAACAGGGGTTGCTTAAGCCATACAAACTTTGAGGTTAGGTTTTTTATACCATTTAATGCAATTTTTCGATTACTATTAAAAAGGTGTACTTCTCAAACTTCGATAAAATAAACCGTTACCGAGATATTCGAGATTACAATAATTGTTATATCGCATTAAAGGACCAAAAGGTATATGATAACATATTTTTTAATTGAAAAAACTACAATTTTTTTAATGTGACCGTCAGGGCAAAAAGTCTCGAGGCTCATGGAATGCCCTTTTTAGTTTTTAGTAATTAAACATACCTAAGTAATTAGGAAAAATATTTATTTAGGTTTTCGTCTTATTTTGACTTGCTCAATCTTTTCCTAAATTTATGCCAATAAGTTTAGGGACTCCTTGTATATATACTGATTACAAAAAATTGGTTCCGAATTTCCCTGTGGAAGAGAATAGACAGATTTAAAGAAATCAGCAAATCCATTTAGTATTTATTTCGGATTCTCAAATTACAACGCCTTCATTGCAAAGCTTAGTAGGAATTCTACTACTACAGTAGAAACCACTAATATATGAACGTGACTCATCGGGTGCCGAACATATCTCAGACATGCTAGCAGTAATGTTTTACTTGTCTTGTACATTCGATGCAGCGGTAAATGTACTCACACGTAGGTTTTTAAGCATCCGGTCTAAAATGTGCCATCTGTGATGTAAAACTGCCTAGGTGTTGGACAAAGATGGACATATGACGCGTGTCCTAGCTTGTTACTTATATTCAGTAGAGTTCGTGTTTTAGGCATTTATTTTATTTTATTACATAGTAAGGCAACCAACTTTACCGTCGGCCATTTGTTTTTATATGTCATATGATCTTTGTTTTTGCATATCGTGTTTCTACTGTGTGTTTACGGATTAATAATCGTTTTAAACGTTGTAGTGGCAGTGGTTTATATTATGTAACACAGGTAGATGTCGTATAAAAATCCTAACCTAGAAATTCTAGGCTAGAATACAAAAATATTTTTATTATGTATATAAATTTTGTACTAGTATTAGTTTAATACATTCTGAAGAAGCTACTGTGTAGCGAAACAATTGTCAATATTTAATAAATTTCGTGAAACTAACGCAAGTTGTTTTTATATCCACACAATTTAAATATCTTTCACTTGTACCTGACCTGCGTAAACATTTTTGTTTTTTGTCACCAATTCTGAAATATTTGCGTTTACCGTTAAAAGAATAGTATATTCTGTAACAAGTTTGACGGTTTCACGAGAGGGGAATATGCAATTCCAAACGTGTTTCAGACTATTATAGTATAATACTAAGAATTTAATTGGAAGAAAGTGAGGTTGGATCGGTCTAAAAATTTGTTATTAAAATCAGAGATGTCGCCACGAGTGTACGTTCTGTCATCAGATGATAGAATATTTCATTAAAGTTAAAAGAAAAGTTTATTTATTAATTAGTTTCTAAGAAAATTACATTTTATTTAATTATCGTAGATGTTAATTATGTTAGATGTTAATTATTTAACTTTAAAAGCAAATATATCATAAGTATAGCAACCAACATTACACTCAAATTTTTTTTACAAACGGGACTGCACTGGACCGTGACCTTCGATAGATTGCTTCGTACGAATGTGTCGGATGAGTCACGTTCATATATTCGTGGTTTCTACTTTACTTACTTTGATTGCGTTGAACAAATGACCAAAATGATTTAGGCTATCGAGAAATACTATTTTCAATATTACTAAGATGAAACTTAAGTTTCATCTTATTTCATCTTATAATTATGGGCGTAGTAATGATTTTTATTCCAACGCTTGAATTTATTATAATAATATGCATTTAACTTGAGACTGTCCGCAATTTCTTTAGTATACCACTATGGGTACTTATTTGGAGATAACTTAAAAGTTCACACATGAGTGTCTAGAATATCATATATTTTTGTATACAATTCAGTGCACATGTACTCAACTGTATTAAAAGATTTTAAGTAGTTCTAGTCAGTAGTTAGAAGTGACCGGTGAAGGTTGTGATAGTGATAGTGATAGCACGCTTAAAGTAATGCATTTTAGTATCTTTACTTAAAATAAAATTCGGGAGATTTTCATTATTCAAGTTTAATAATAAATTCAGGGTAGGGTGGTATAGATCTATTTTAAAGGTTATGTCCCGCTCAACAACACATTCCACATTAGAGAGAACCAAATCAAGCAAATGACCATGTACATTTAATATGTTATTTACCTGATTTAATGCCGAAATATTTATAAAATTTGTTATTATTTTTTTTTAATCATTTAAATCCCTCTCAACAAATTTAGAAGCATTGAAGTCGCCTAATATTAACAGATTCATAAGATGTAAGGTTATATTCTTAAAATGTTCAACAAACAATTTCATTTCATAAAATGTAACCTGTGGTGGAATGGAAGCATAAATGAATACTAACATATTTTTAAGTGAGCATTTACAACCAGCTACATCTATTAAAGGAAAACTGTCTTTTAAACTAAGTAAATTTTTAGGTTGAACATTATATTTATTCTTGTAGGCAATTAATATACCTCCTCCTCTAGTCAAATTAGTTTGAAAAACTGACGATCGCCACGAAAAAGTAATGGTATAGTGGCAAATATTTCAGTGATAGGCTTGGGCTGCTCGTAGTCCTTTTGTATAAGTGCATTAATATGGCGCGCGTCTTAACAACAGCGTACCGTACCGTCTTTTTTTAAAGTAGTCATAAGTGGCGAGACAAAAGGCGTCAAAGCTGGCTCAATTATTTTTAAACATTTCCATAATTAAATCTTGGACTGCCTGTCGGTCCTGGTTTAGTAAAAATAAGTTTTTCCGTAACTAATTTAATCTTATGATCTTATAATTTGGTTAACCCGCGCTTTGTAGAAAAAATATTTTTAATTTTTTTCATTAACTCGTGGAACTTATATATTTTTGTAGTACATACAGGTCAGCATTAACAACCGCATTGGCCACATTTAGCGCTGTAAAAGTTTGTGCCCATATTTGAACCATTTTACTAGTGTTTTCTTGCGAAATGAGCCTAACGTTTACATTTTCATGTTCGTAGTAGCTGCTGTTCGGTAAACATTCAGGGATGTTAATTAGCTGATTGTTAGACTTACATATTAATTTTTATTTTTCACGTCTACGGTGGCTAAGGGCAGTGCCGTAGCTAGCCTCGAAGGGGCCCCGCATCAAAAATCTGGTAGGGGCACTTATATGGGAAAAGCTGCTGGCAAAAAAATTTCTGGGTGTCACGCCCAGTCTATTTTGGGCAAACAAAAATTTTTTTTTAGGGTAGATGTAATTTTTTTTGCATTTTCCAATTTTTTATAATTTAATATATAATATATGTATACATAGCTTTTTATGTACAGGCAAATTGGTCTTGTTTTAGACATTTACAGTTCTTCAACATCTTTTAAAAGGTTTTTATTTTAAAATAAAGGCAAGTCATTTGAAATAATTGTAACGCTAATAATTATTTCTAATTTGCTATTAATATAACCTATGATAACAACACGCAAAGCAGACTCAATGCAGCAATGCAGCAGAACAATATACGCAGACTGCGCCGCAGGCAACGCATACCGGAACGGTGCGGGCAGAAACAATTCGTATGAGTTCACGGCCTCTTTGGAACACGAGGGTATTCAGGAAAATTTTAATCTAATAAATCGAAGTTTAAACAATTAAATAATAATATTCTTTATTTATTTATTTATTTAATTTCATGCCTCAATTTTTTTAACATGTGGGAAATATGTTTTTTGATTACGCATGTCGAAGCCAATCGGGAACCCCCCTAGCAGGGGGCCCCGTATCATTGATACGGCTGATACCGCGGTATAGCTACGCCCCTGGCTAAGGGTTAAACTCCTTGTGGTAGTTGAATAAAATATTGTGTGCGACTATTGGTCAAAATAGGAGATTTCACTCGCGTGTTACCGCACTCCACGCTCGAGGAATCTCCTTTTTCTCCAACAAGTCGCACAATATACTATATATATACTTTAAAATATCTCAGTAAATAGGCATTTTACAAAAAGAAAATTAGATGATTCGAGGGGAAAATAAAATAGTACCAATATTATTCCCTATACTCTCATCTCTATAGGGAGAGCATGGGGTAACTTTAAAATTTCCAATGGAACACCCTATTTTCAATTGCAGATTGAAATAAAAATAGGTAGATATATATATTTTTTCGTAATTGTAATAGATGGCGCTTTAATAAAAAACATCAATTTTGTTCGATTTTTTTCATAAAAGACGACTCGTCGGAGAACAATACAAAATGAAAAAAAATGGATTTTGTTGTATTTGTTCACAATCCCACTGATAAAAATTAAGGATCGTATTTAAGGTAGTTGTCGTGCTGTAAGCATACCATCTGAAAATTTTTAATTTTTGTATACATATTAAGGACTTGACAATAAAATTATCCTTAAAATTTGAAGTCGATTGACCGTCTATAACCCGAGATAAATTCAATTAAAAATTGGATAATTAACATGGATTGTATACGCTTTCTGTAGTTCTGTACCAGTTTCTTAGTTATAAAAAAACTAACTGTCAGAAGCTTTCAAAAAACTAACAGTATTTTTGCTGAGTTTAAAAAAAATAATTAAAAATTTTTGACCGTCCAATTGTTTATAAATAACCGTTTAAAGTTCAACAATTTGTAAAAAGTATACATCACTAGTGTCAGATAAAAACAACTTGGCAACGCTGTACGCGAGTATAGATATTATTTCCGCAGTAAATTCAAACACTGATTCAGTCTCCAATATATCTATTGGTTGAGCATAAGCGAGTCGCTTAAAGCGACGTTGCCGAAATAAAACTTATGAAAATATTTGACAGTATTACGTAAAGGTAACGTCTCCAGGGTACAGTCTTGCGAATAAATTATGATTCACTTAGCTACAAGCTCGTATACTTTTACGGTGCGTATAATCTAAAATTTTTTGACAATATTGTACCACGACAACTACCTTAATTCGTTTTAATCCGGAATTGCGAGAAAATTGTCGTGTGCTTGCATAAGGATTACCAGCAACGGCTGCTAATACATTAATTTTATTATTTTTACCTGTGACTGTTGCTTGACAAACACTTTTTTTTAGTAAACTGCTTGACTGTACGCTATCGAATTTTTTCCTGAAAACGCTGGGCGTGGATATTAACAGCATCATCAAGATTTCTGCCTGCTTCTTCATAAATCAAAACCATTTCTTTTTTTCTTCTACTCTTAAAAAATCCATTATGATTACCAAACTGCTCAACGAAAACAGGTCTTCTTGTTTGCAAACTAATCTTCGAACTAAATAAAATTACTTTTATATTTTTATTGAAAAATTATTGCAGAATGGTATACAGAGGAGAAATCGAACAAAATTGATGTTTTTTACAGCGCTTTTTTAACAAGTATAAAAAATTGTCTTACACAAAATCTACCTATTTTTAGTCGAATAATCGGAATCTACAATAAAAAATAGGGTGTTCCATTGCTCTCCATGTAAGCATCAATCATTTAATTTTTATATTAAAATGCCTATTTACTCAAATATTTTAAAGTTTTAAGTTAAAAGACTCACCCTGTATATGCATAAAGGCAATAACGTTAACTTTAACTCACCTTTTTGTCCCGCTATGTTTGTGGCCTTTGCTCTTAGAACTCTCCCGAATTCCCCTTCACCCAATGTCTGTTCTATGATTAACTGGGATCTGGGAAATTCCCATTTTGGATCCACCTGTTAAATAAATACATAACATTAGAACTACTTTATGGGATAATAATTTTAGAAAATGTATATTTTACCCAGTTTTATGCAACATGAATTATTCATTGTAAATAAAACTAATAATAAAATTTACAATTTTACAATAAAACTTTTAGTACATATTTAGTTAACATTTAATAACTGAAGATTATGTTACAAAGCATATATCTATAACTGTGCTAGATATAATATATCATGCAAACATTTATTTTAAAGATATATAGATATATGCTATAAAGGGTATTTATACCATTTAAATTTATTTATAAGTGATTCGCCGATTTCAGTTTAATCCTATAAATCCTGTTATTAGCGGTCTATGCTATGCTTAGACTAGTGTTAGCATAGTATAGACCTGTAGTTTGTTTTCAATATTTGCTAGCAGATGTCAGCAGGTCCAAGTCACGCGACCTGTTTAAGAACACCGTTAAAGTGCTTATAGTAATTGTTGAAATATTAATGCAACGAAGAACTAATAATAAAAGCCTTTATAAAATCAGGAAACGCAAGAACGCACCACGAATTTCAAAATTAAACAAGACAATTTGTGGCAAACTTGTTTTGTAGACCGGTGTGAAAGGTCCGAAAACAGCCGAATGGCCAGTGGCGTTCGTTACAACTATATAACGTTGCCAGACTTATACCAAAGCACAATTTAATCTTATTATATATATTATACATTGCGGTAAATATTGTAGGTAAAATGTCAAATCCAACTGTGGACCCTGTGAAAAACCTAGATGTCGCCCCCAAATGAAATGTTCTTATTTCAAGAAATAACATTTAGCGATGTAAGAGATATTATTGATAAATTAAAAAATAAAAATAGCTGTGACATACATGGCCTAAATATTAAATTGATAAAAAACATTAAAAATATAATCATAATACCTCTTACAAAGCTTATTAATATATGTTTTGGAGAGGGTACTTTTCCGAGGGTTCTTAAGAAGGCAGTAGTGGTTCCAATATATAAAAAGGGAGATATTAACAAACCTAAGAACTATATACCGATTTCCTTGCTGCCGGTAGTCTCAAAGATCTGAAGAAATGAAGAAGAGAAATGTATGGCTAAACAAATTACATGCTTTTTGGAAAGAAATGACATGTTTACTGAGAGTCAATTTGGGTTCAGAAGGGAAAGAAGCACAGTTCAGGGTGTGCTAGATCTAATAACAAATATTCAAAATTCTTTTCAAAACATGAAATTTAACTCTGTTCTATTCTGCGACTTGAGCAAGGCATTTGATTGTGTTGACCATAACATTCTTATTAAAAAGCTTGGTTACTATAATTTTAACAAAAACAGCATAAAGCTCCTTCAATCTTATCTCCATGATAGAAGTCAGGTGGTGAGAGTCGGTGGCGTGTCGTCAGCAGAGAGAAATATCACAATTGGAGTCCCTCAAGGATCCATCTTGGGACCATTACTATTTTTAATATTCATCAATGACTTGCCTATCAGAGATCTAGATACTAGTTTTACTCTCTTTGCTGACGACACGACACTGTCTCTCAGCGCAGACACTCAGCATGATGCAGAAGTCAAGATGTCAATTGCTCAAGTCAAGACAGAAAACTGGTTTAGGGCAAACAAACTCTTACTAAACAAGGAAAACCCCAGCAAAAATTTAAACAAGATGTGGAAAAAAATAAGTTTTTGGGAGTATATCTTGATCCTACCCTGCTGTGGGATCATCATATAAATTATATTGCCACAAAGCTTGGTAGGAGTTTGTTTGTCCTGAGAAATCTTATGAACTGTGTTTCTATAGATGTGCTAAAAAGTGCAAAGCCACCTTTCATATTCTATATATTTTAGCCTGGGGTCATGCACCCCAGAGTGAGAGGATATTTTGTATCCAGAGAAAGGCAGTGAGACTATTGGCAGGCTTGGGATTTCGGGATGATTATGGGCAAGCGTTCCGGAGCTTGAATCTCCTAACGGCCCCATCTCTGTATGTTTATGAATGGCTTGTTTACATGCACAAAAACATTTCTCATTATTCAATTCATAGTGACTTTCACCAATATAACACAAGAATGAAAAACAACGTCGCACCATTACATTGTCGCCTAAAAAGGTGCCAAGATGGACCAAACTACTGGGGCGTAAAATTTTATAATGTCCTCCCAGCACAGATTAAAATTTTAAATGAGAATGCCTTTAAAAAAGGCTCTGAAATTAATTTTAACTAAGAATACACCAAAAATGAGTAGTTTTAACTAAGAATACACCAAAAATGAGTAGCTAAATCTATTTAAAAATAGCTGTTGATGCGTAGGTTGTTGAAATGATTCGCTGGTTTTCTTTAGTTTTTTACTTTAATATTTAACAACAACATTATATTACAGGAGATAATCGAAAAAATTGTCTATCATCGTTTTGCCTCGTTTTTAGTTAGTTAGTTGTATTACCAACCTACTTCCGCTACGAAAGTGTAGCCAACATAAAAAGTGGCGGTAAATTTGAAATATTTAAACTATAAAAACAAAGTCTTAACATGCCGGCCTCCTTGAAATCACCGATTTTAATAAAAAGTTAATGAAACAAAATCAAAACACTCGCGAACGCATGCGCGTGTACATTTAAGATAATGTCTTTGATTCAGGAAGAATACACAAGTTGTGGATCACTCTTCGGGATTCGGACTGGTTCGGCATTTGCACGGTGACCGCTCGGATGATTCCGTCTTCACCAGGATGAACAGCAGATATTCGTCCCAGGGACCATTTATAAGGAGGCAAATTGTCATCCTTGATTAAAACAAGTGAGCCTGGAGCAACTAGCTGGCTGCTATCTCGTTGCCACTTTGTTCGTTTTTGTAATTCTGGAACCACTTCTTTGCTCCACCGCTTCCAAAATTGTTGAATCAAGCTTTGCATGAAATTGTATCTATTCAGATTATTCGTCAATTTTTCCTCGGCCATGGTTTCAGGCAAGGCAACTAGAGGGCGTCCAATCAGAAAATGGCCAGCTGTCAAAGGTGCAAAATCGTTTGGATTGGAAGAGAGGGGGGAGAGGGGTCTTGAATTTAGGATGGCTTCTATCTGTGCTAAAATAGTAGTCATTTCCTCATAGTTACAGGTAGCGTTACCCAAAATTCTACGCAAGTAATACTTAGTCGATTTAACGCTAGATTCCCACATGCCACCGAAATGGGGCGAGTGCGAAGGTATGAAATGCCAAATAATGTCGTCTTGATTTAAAAAATTCGAAATGGAGGTCTGAGTCTCAGTATCACGTAAAAATCTGTAGAGATCCTTTAAATAGTTAAACGCGCCTACAAAATTTTTAGCATTATCAGAAAACAGTTCCTTTGGTTTTCCGCGTCGGGATATAAATCTCCTAAGCATAGCAATGAATGCTTCTGTACTTAGACTGGTAACCAACTCTAGGTGGATGGCCCTTGTTACTTGACAAACAAAAACGCATATGTAAGACTTTATCAATTTCACTGGCTTTGAGTACCTATCTTTTAAAAGAATCGGCCCCGCATAATCTATTCCAGTCTTGTAAAAAGGAGGAACATTTGGGTTAACTCTTGAAATTGGGAGTTCCCCCATTTTAGGATTATCCCTAGAAGGGTTTACCCTAAAGCACGTTACGCATTTCTTAACAATTTGCTTGCATATATTTTTACCTGAGACAGGCCAGAAAAACTCGCGCACACAAGCTAATGTTTGCTGCACACCAGAGTGCAACATTTTTTTATGGTAATGTGAAATGATAATGTTCGTAAAGGGGTGGTTTTTGGGGAGTAAAATTGGATGACGTTTGTCATAGCCAAATGGAGAATTAGCAAGTCGACCGCCCACTTGAATTAAATTGTTTTCATCTAGAAAAGGAGATAAGTTAAGGATGCTAGAATTAGCTGGAACTTGGTTATTTTTTTGTAGGCTTACTATTTCAGATTTATAACACTCCTCTTGGCACATCCTAGCAAGTCTTAACAATGAAAATCTTAATTCGTCAGTAGTTAAGAAACCTCGCAATTTTTCCTTAGATCTCGCATTTTTAAAAAAGCGAAATATCCAGGCGACTACGCGTTGAATGCGAATATCAGAAAATTTATCAAATATTTCAGTATTTTTGGAAACATTGTTTAAAACAATTGATTTTAACTTGACTTCGGGCATATTACACATGGGAACACAGGAGCCAGAAAATGGAATAGGATTGGAGACGTTTAGAATATCAGGGCCATGCCACCAAAATTCATTTGAAATTAGTTGCGAAATAGTCACACCTCTGGACAGCAAATCGGCCGGGTTATCCTTTGACCTTACATGATACCATTGATTTTGAGAGGTGAGCTCTTGAATACTGGCTATTCTGTTAGCGACAAATGTTTTGAAATTATTCGGTGTTGAATTTATCCATGATAGGACTATTGTAGAATCCGAATAGAAAAAGGTTTGGTAAGTGGATATCTTTAATGATTCTATGACCTTTGACATTAGTTGTGCTAAAAGAACAGCTGCGCACAACTCCAATCTCGGCAACGACACAGACTTGAGGGGTGCGACTCTTGTTTTAGAAGCGATTACATGTGAAGCAGTGTTGCCATATTGATCAACGGACTTTAAGTATACGCATGCTCCATACGCCTTCTCACTAGCATCTCCAAAACCATGCAATTCGATCTTAACAAAGTTTTCCAGCACTACACACCTCGGAATTTTAATAAGTTTGATTTGATGTATTTGATTTAAAAAGTCTACCCACTGTTGGTGTAAATTTTCTGGAACAGTTTCGTCCCAGGAAAGTTGAAGTTTCCACAGTGTTTGGATAAGGATTTTTGGCAATATTATTACTGGACCTAAAAGCCCCAGCGGATCGAACAGCTGAGCGATGCAGGAGAGTATGGAACGTTTTGTGACTTCATGAAGATTGAAATTAGCATTAATGTCATACTGTATAGTATCATGGACAGAATTCCAAGAAATACCTAGAGTTTTGGCAGTTT